TTATGGGAAGAAAAATTGTGTAATCTGAACCATAACAATTTTGGAAGGAATACTTGTATAATCTGATTTAATATATACATTAGGGAAAGGATATATTTTAGCTAAAATGTTGAAATGCAAGTTATTGGAAAATAATTTTACAGTGAGATAGAGTTAAAGCTTTCTCTAGACCTGGGATTCTGATGAATTTGTGAATCTCCTGAAACGTGTAATTTTTATTGAAGATTCACAATTGATTCTGTGATCCAAAAATTAGGCAGGAATGAGTATTTTTAGAAGTCTTCTGTGGTGAGGTTGAATGAATTTAAACAAAAGGCTTTGCACTTTGTAATCTGGGTGAAAAGGTGTTGGAATCTCAGTGCATCCTCAGGGCAGTGGCACTGCCCATTGTGGAAGTGCTGCCAGCCCACAGCTGGGTGGACCTTCTTCTGCCCTATACTATAGCTTCTATCCTGTACTGTAGCTAGAATAGCTCAGGAACTACCACTGTTTTCACTTTGAGAAGCATGAGGAATGGTGATAGTGGTGGTCTTAAGTGCCCCTGAGTCAGTTTTGACTCATTATGACCCTGTATAGGGTTTCCAAGGAGTGACTGGTGGGTTTGAACTGCCAAACTTGTGGTTAGCAATCAAGTGCTTATCCTACAGCGCCACACCTGGACTCCCTCTGGGGAATGACAGTTAATAGCTGTTTTTATTTTAATCTTCCCAGTTATACTCCAGTTCTTTATCCCCCTCATCCTTCCATCTACCATAACTATATTTGTCCTCCCCCCTCCCCCATATAACTCTTTATTGGCGACTTTTCATTTCTAGAGTCTGCATGTTTTTGACATGCCTCTTCTAAAACATAATTTCTTCTTTATTAACCACAGTAGAAGGGCAAAGAAATAAATGGAATAACAAAAGGCAGCTTTAACTAATTGGTCGTGATATTATTATAGAAAATTTTACCCTCTTCTTAATTGCCGGGTGGGAAATAGAAAGAACTTGGATTGACTTCAATTCTGTCTTCTGATAAAAAAAACCCTACACTTTTGTTTTCAGAATATGTGCTTTTCATAAATAACAGGTAGTATTTTACTTTTGTATTAATGTCATCTCAAGATAATAAGGATTGTCAATGATAATGTTCTTGTTTACTGATGCTATTTTAGCAGAAATTGAGGTTTTCTTTTTGTTTTCAGCCGTATTTTGGATTTGTAAGTTTTCTTTTGTGCTTATTTAACAATAATGTATACTTCTTCATCAGAAAAGAGGTTGTGTAGATCAAATTTAAAAAAATTGTTACGTGACATTTGAAATTCTTGAAATAAACTCGTATTTAAAGAAATCTTATGTTGAACACTTTTGCAGTGTAAAGAATCCTTTTGGTAAAGTAAGGAAACACCTTCTGTGTGAAGTTGAGACTATCATATCAGGTTTACTTGAAGTAAAGTGCATGTACTTTGGTACTGCAGTGAGTAGATATATTTCAGGTATCTTTTCCTCTTGAAATTTTCCATCCAAGCACTTGACAGATTTAGTGCTGATTAGATTTTTAAAGTTTTGTGAGCTGAGATCTAATCAGAACAGTCCTATTTTAAGGATTCTAATGATTATTCACTTTGTGCTTCATTGTTGTTATATAAAATGATTGTTGCCAGTTAGCTTTCCTCTGTGTAGGAAATGCAGTAATTGGCATAAAGTATATATTGAAATAGGTAATTACTTCCTCTACTTTCTTGCCTTAGTGATCATTGTTGCATTTTGTTTTGTATTAGGAATTATATTGACGAGACCACTTTAAAGTAAATGGGGGATTAAATTATTGGAGGAAGTACCTGATAGAAATGCAAGGGATAAGATTATCCTTAATTCCTTCTTTGCTGAGCAGATTAGTTTAAACTAACCCTTGGTATACTGGGTCCTATCCACACTCTGATAGTGTGGTGGTTCTTGACTATATTGGAGCCTGCAGAAAATTTAAAATAATTAATATTGAGATCTTTTAATATTAATAATAATCATCAATATTGAAGTCCAAACATATTTTAAATAATTAGCCAAGGATTAAGACATAAAGATTAATCTGTCAAGTCTGTCTACTAGGCATTTCATTCTTGACTTACTTTTAGTTTCAAATTTTGCCTAATTAGAATTGCTGAATATAGCATTATTGCTTCCACTGGCTTCATCTTAGAGCCTGAAACTTACTTTAATAAATTATTCACTTCTATTATTTTTTTCTCTCTAGAACATTTGCACCAATGTGGGATGTATTCAAAATATCTACAGAGAAATTAGCAAATTGTCACCTGGATCTTGTTAGAAAATTACAAGAATTAATAAAGGAAGTTCAGAAGTATGGGGAAGAACAAGTAAAATCTCATAAAAAGGTATCTTTTTTCTTACTAAAGTATTGATTGGTCACACATTGAGTACTTTAGAATACAGTAATTTTTTTGAATCATTTTATACCAAACAGACTAAAGAAGAAGTTGCTGGAACTCTGGAAGCTGTTCAAACTATTCAGAACATAACTCAGGCCCTCCAGAAATCTAAGGAAAATTACAATGCCAAATGTGTAGAACAGGAGCGTTTGAAAAAGGAAGGAGCTACACAGAGAGAGATTGAAAAGGTAATCATAATAAAAATACCACCTCTGGTGTGGATCTGGATTGCTAGCCCCAAGGTCGGCAATTCAAATCCACCAGCTGTACCCAGAAACCCTATACAGGGTTGCTATGAATTGGAACCAATTTGAAAATATTTAACAACAACAATAATAGTAAATGGGTTAGCAAATACATATAAACGAGTGATTTGTTTATGTTAAATGATGTATTTGCAGGATATTCTTATAGTATAATAAGATGCTGCTTGATACAAGATTTAAGATGAATATTTTTCTGAAGAAAGATTTGTTGTATTTGGAAAGATACAGATAATTGAAGATAAGCTTGAAATGCATGTTGTGGGAAATTACTGCTGACTTTTAACAAAATTATGTAGTATTTTGATAAACCAAAATTATGTAGTATTGTGGTAAAGAAAGCCCTTTTACTCACTGAATATTTTGATTGAAGAACTTTCCCCCCTTTCAAGTCAGTGTAAACTACCCATTCACTTATTTGCTATATTGTGTCTCATTTAGGAATGTGAACCATTGTTGTTGTTGTCAGGTGCCATCGAGTCGGAACTGACTCATAGCGACCCCATGCACAGCAGAACGAAACAATGTCCGATCCTGGGCCAACCTCACTA